TGACCCAACCAGGGCAACCGAGGTACCGAACCCGGGTCTCTCCGGACCGCAGGCCGACGCTCTAACCACTGAGCCAAACCGGCCAGGGCCTCTTTAAGTATTTCAAGCGAGAGCAGATAAAGTTTGGAGAATTGGGTGTTTACAGAAAACAGTGGCAGGACTGGAGGGAGAAAGGTGCAGGAAGTGACTGCTACTTCTCTGGTTTGCCTCTAACTTTCAGGGGGTCGGGAAGGTGCAGGGGCTACAGGAAATCTCTGGAAGTAATCACTTGTCACCAGTACTTAGGCTGGTGGTTTATAGAAAACACCTGAAGGATGCTGCACACTCTCACATGTCATCTGCTGCAGTCCGTCAGGCATCTGCCCGTCCTTGACAAAGGAGCCAAAGTATACTTGGGCCCTCGTTATGTGAGTGCCTTTCGTAGAGAGTCTAACCAGAAACCTGCTGGCAGGGTCCGGGAAGATGTAGCTCCTGCCATGTGGCCCTGTGAGTTGGGGGCAGGGCAGGAGCAGAGGCTGTGAACTGCCTGCAGGCATCCTGGCACAGATTCCTATTAATTAGACTCGTTATCTGGTAGAACAGTTCTCTCCCTCCCTGCACACCCACACCCCTTCCTCATATTGTCATGGGTATTCTGAGTCCGTCACATCGCCATATGAACTTTAAGCTGATCTTGTTAAATGTTACGAAAAACTCAGGATTTTAATTGGAATTATACCTAATTTTCAGACTAATTTTAGGTTCATTGACCCTTTATGATAGTCAAACTTGTTATCCTTTAATATGATTTCATCTTTCTAACTCCTTTTAATAAAGCTTTATGACTTTCTACATGAAGGTCCTGTGTCTCTTTCATTATATTTAGTAATTCAACAGCACTCATTGAAAAATATGTGCTAGTCACTATTCTATGTGGTGAGGATATAGTGGTGAACGAAAGAAAATACCTATCTTAATTGACCTTAAGATAGCAAACTTATTATTTAATGTACTACCATGTAACAATAAGAACTATGAAGAAAACTAAAGCTGGAGTAAAGAGGATAGAGCATGTGTCTTAAAATTGTCAGGGCAGGCCTCAGAGGGGTGACAGAGCCGAAAGCTGAAGGGGGTGAGTGAGCAAGCCGTGTGGGTGTCAGAGAAAGCAGCATGTGCAAAGGCTCTGGGGCAGGAGCATGTTTGACACACCCAAGAAGCAACAAGAAGGTCTCTGCTGGAGTGGACTGAGCAGGGAGGAGAGAGATGGGCCAGATTACAGAGCACTCCATAGACATGAGAGGGCTTTGGCACAAGCAGATAAGGTGAGCTGATACATGTTTTAAAATAGTTGCTGGGGCTGCCGTGTGGAGAACAGACTGGGGGGAAGAAGGGTGGGAGCTGCAGAGGCGAGTGAGGAAATCATTAAGTTAGTCCAGACTAGCAGTGACCGGCCAGCCAGCAGGCTGCAGAGGGCATAGTTCCAACAGGTTTGCAGGGGGTTGTATGTGGCACATCCAAGAAAGGAAGAAGGTGAGTGAAGCTTCATTGCTTTCCCTGAACAACTGGACCGAGTTGCCATTTTGCTGAGATTCAGAAGACATCAGAGAGCCCTGGCTGGTTTGGTTCCGTGGTTGGACCAAAGAGTCACAGGTTCCGTTCGATCAAGGGCACATACCTCGGTTGCAGTTTGGTCCCTGGTCCTGGTTGGTGTCGTGAGGGAGGCAGTCAGTCGATGTGTCCCTCTCCCATCAGTGGTTCTCTCTCTCTCCCTCTCTTTCTCACACCCACTCTATCTGAAGATCAATGGGAAAATGTCCTCAGGTGAGGATTTTAAAAAGGAAGATTTCAAAGGGAACAAGACTGGGGGGGGAGGGGGAGCAGGTTAGGTTTTTTAAACTTTATATATATTGACGTATAATGACATATAATACACAAATTGTAATTGTACCACCTGATGAATTTTTACCAAGTGAACCCATCCAGATAGCAAGAACAAGAGTAAATATCATAACTGTAACACCATAAATTTGTTTTGCTAGTTTTTGAACTTTATATAAATGGAAACATAAGGTATACATTCTATTCTGTCTGGCTTTTTTTTTTTTTTTTTTAATTTTTTTCTTTATTGATTTGAGAGAGGAGGGGAGAGGAAGAGAGAAACATCGATGAGAGAGAACATCAATCGGCCACCTCCTGCATGCGCCCCCCGGGGAGTCTGCCCACAACCTGGGCATGTGCCCTGACCAGGAATCAAACCAGCGACCTCTTGGTGCATGGGTCTATACTCAACCACTGAGCCAGGGGCTGTCTGCCTTCTTTTACTGAACATTTTATTTGAGATATTATCAAATATTTCCTTTATAGCTACTATTTTTAATTCCTGTTCAAGAAACATTTGCCTACCTTAAGGTTAAAGTCTCTTGTTTTTTCTATTTTCCCTAGATTTACTGCCTTTTAGTTTTACCTTTTAGGTTTAGATGTACAATCCACCAAGAATTGATTTTTTGTATGTGGTGTGATGTAGATGTCAAGATTAATTTTTAAAAATATGTATATCCAATCGATCCAGCTCCATTTCTTGGAAACTCCATTCTTTCTGCATTGTACCGCAGTATCATCTTTGCCATAAATCAGGCGCCCGGTGTGTTTCTGGACTTTCTATGGTATTTCATTCATCTGTCTATCCTTGCACAAAACCCTTTCTAATGGAGCTTAATTCCTGGGGGTGGAACTTCTCCAGCTTTGTTCTTTTTCTAGACTCCGTTGGATATTCCTGGCCCCTTTGCAATTCCATATGAAATTTAGAATCATCTTGTGAATTTCTACCGACCCACCCCAAGTCCTTCTGGGGCTTTTTATATAACTTACAAATAATAAAATATATAAATATTAAGGGTACAATTTGATGAGTTTTGACAAATGTATCCTCTCCAGTCGAGATGTAGAACAGTCCATCACCACAGAAGGTTCCATCATGCCCCTTTCCGGTCAATGCCCTTTCTTACCCAGAGGTAACCGCTCTTGATTTCTAGCACCAAAAATTGGTTTTGACTATTCTAGGATTTCATATAAGTTAAGTCATAAAGTATAAACGCTTATGTGTTTGACTTCTTTTGTTGTTGTTGTTAATCCTCACCCAAGGATATTTTCCCATTGATTTTTTTAGATAGAATGGAAGGGAGAGAGAGAGACATCGATTGGTTGCCTCCTACATGACCCCAGGGATTGAACCTGCAACCATGTATGTGCCCTTGACCAGAAATTGAACCCTCTGTCTGAGTGCTGACATTCTAACTGCTGAGCCAAACGAGCAAGGGCATGTGTGACTTCTTTTGACACAACATAATGTGTATGACATTCAATCATGGGGTTGCATGTATCAGTTCATTTCTCATTAGTGCGGAGTATTTCGTCTTAGGACTATACCAACATTTGATTACCCATTGACCTGCTAATAGTCATTTGGATTTTTTTTTTCACTTTGGGGCTACTATGAAGAAAGCAGCTGTGAATATTCTTGTATGAGTCTGGGTGAATGTGATTTCATTCCTCATGAGCAAATACTTAGACATAAAAAATGGGTGTATGTGTATGTTAAGTGCTTGCTTTGTTTGTTTTTTTATGTTGTTTTATGAAAAACTGCCAAACATTTTCCAAAGTAGTTGTACCATTTTTATACTGCCACTAACAAGGTATGAGAGTTCTAGTTGTTCTGTATACTCACCAACAGTTGATATGGTCAATTTAGCCATTCCAAGGTGGAAAGTGTTTTTTGTTTTTTTTTTAATTTGCAGTCCCTGATGACTAATGATTCTGAGCACATTTTCATGTGCTTGTTGATTATTTATGTATCTTCCTTTGTGAGGTTTTGGTTATAATCATTTGCCTTTATTTTTCTGTTTGATATTACTGAGTTGTGGGTGATATATATATATTTTTAGGTTTATGATCCATCTTGAATTAATTTTTGAGTGTTGCTTGAGGTGACCGTTGAGGAGGTTGTTTTTGTTTGTTTGTTTTTCCTAAATGACTCAGTTGTTTTTGCACCTTCTATTGAAAGGACTGCCCTTCACCCATTGCCTTTCCCTGGGCTCTTTTCTCTCCACATATTTCTAGACTCGACTCTACCCACTAATTTACTTGTTTATGTGCTAAAACCACAGTCTTAATGGTAGCTTTCAAAGTCATGAGGTCAACTTAGTTTTTTCCTACTAAAACTTTGGTTGCACTCAGGTTAACTCTGTAGATAAATTGGGGAGAATTAACATCTTAACTGTATTGAATATTCTATCCAGAAACACAGGGTCTCTCTCCATCTATGTCTTTAATTTTTCTCAGCAGTGTTTTGTAATTTTCAGTGTATGTCTTATCGGACTTTTAACTTATCCTAAGTATTTTTCCTCAACTTTATAGACGTATAATCTACATGTTATGAACTATACCCATTTTAACTATGCAATTCAGTGTGTTTTATTTATTTATTTTTTATCCTCATCCGAGGACATTTTTCCACTTTTTTTGTTAAGACAGAGTGGGAAGGAGAAAGAGGAAGAGAGAGAGAGAGAAACATCGATGTGAAAGGGACACATCGAGTGGCTGCCACCCGCACGACCAGCCAGGGCCGGGGACAAACTGCAACCGAGGTACATGCCCTTAGCGGGAACCGAACCCGGGTCTCTCCGGACCACAGGCTGATGCTCTAACCGCTGAGCCAAACTGGCCAGGGCAATTCAGTGTGTTTTAATCAATTATTTTATGCTTACTGACATAATGGTAAACAGAATTGGTTTTAATTTGTTTTCTAATATTTGTTGCTAATATATAGAAATAAAGTCATATTTACGTTTGGTTGTGATGTCTCTTAAAATTCTTTTGTTCTTGGAGTACTTAGCCTCTACTTTTTCCTTTTAGTATTGACTTAAAGAGACCAGACCAGTATGCATATAAATAAATTTAAATTATATTAAAATAAAAATTCAGAACCTTGGTTACACTAACCTTGTTTTGATTGCTCAATAGCCACGTGTTCCTCGTGGCTACTGTAGTGGACAGCACAGATTCCCATCATTGCACAAAGTTGTATGGAGTTGGGTGGCCCTACCATCTGGATTTGCCTCATTGTGTTTTCATGGTGTTGTGTAACTCGTTCCAATAATGTCTGTATTTACAGTAAATTGAAAGTTATACGCACATACTTAAAAGCTTAATTAAGTGCAGATTAAACTTTTAGTTCAAAACTGCCTCGTCAAGTGATGCTGTATCCTTTGTACTGCATTGCAAAGAACTAAAAATTGACTGCTGGATTTTGCAACATGGATGTGGCTGTTGATCTTGGGGTGGAGGCAAAAATATGATAGACCAGTGGGAAGCTTTGGTCTGAAAGAGCAGAGAAATGGGGTGTTTGCTGGATGGGGATATGGGGCTAATTTGAGAGATTACAGTATGTTTATGTGCTGATAGGAATGACTCGACTGAGAGGAAAATCTGATAGTGCAGCAAAGAAAGGGGAGAAATGTCGACACTGTCCTTCAGAAGGCCAGCGCGAGTGGTCTGGCAGGTGGAGGTGTCGGCTGTGGGAGGGGCCAGACAGTCCCACCCACAGTTCCTCAGTGATAAAGAGGAACCTGGGACTTCTCTTCTGACTGATTCTATTATTTATATCTAAGCGTCCAGGCCTAAAAAGGGGTACTGTAGTGGCCTTTCACTGTGTGGCTTCAGACTTCTATATTTTGTATGTTCTTATATTTCTCATATCATATGTCATCCATATATATATTAAAGATATATACAGCCCGGCCAGTGTGGCTCAGTGGTTGAGCGTTGACCCTGCACCAAGAAATCGCTGGTTCGATTCCCGGTCAGGGCACAGGCCCGGGTTGTGGGCCAGATCCCCAGTGGGGAGCATGCAGGAGGCGGCCAATCAATGTTCTCTCTCATCCATGTTTCTCTCTCTCTCTCCTTCTCACTCCCTCTCTCTCTAAAATCAATAAAGGAAAAATTAAAAAAAAAAAAAAGATATACACAAATATATTTCTTATTCCTCTGCTGTCTTTTCTGCCTTCAGTTTACCTGACTCCACAGCCTTCCTCCCGCTCCAGCTCTGAGCTACTTCTGTCAAACCGTAGGTTCAGGCATCCACAAGTAAGGCCATGAAGTCTAAAGGAAAAAGTCCCATTGACATTACCCAAGGGGCCCTGACTGTGTGGTTGCGCTCATCCCCGGCCCTACACATCAACTGTGTGCTCCCCCCCCCCGCCCCTCTCCCCCTCTCCCTCCCTCCCTCCCACTCTATCTGAAGATAAATGGAAAAATATCCTCGGTGAGGATTAAAACATAAATACATAAATTACCCCAAGTGGCAAGTAACTGGACATGGGACTGTAGAGTGGGCCTGTTTGTGGCTCTCGAGGGGCCTTTGCTCTGTTCTATTCACCTTTGTCTCCTGCCGGCTTCCTCTGCTCACTCAGATTGGCCCCTCTGCAGTGCTGAGCACACACCCATGGTGGTCTCACTCACCTGAGTTTCCATCATCACCTTTGGGCTTTCACTTCACCTGCAAAGACCTGGTCTAGACGAGATTCCTGTGTTGAATTCATGAGAAAGGAAATGTGACTGCAGGGACTTTTCCTAAAGATCTGACCTCGCTAGCTGCAGCCGGGGGGGTTGGGTCTTCCACATAAAACTCCACTGCCTCTGTGCTCTGTCATCCCTCAGGCCTGGGCCAGGGCAGTTCTTAGGAGGGACGGCGGTGGCGGGCAGGGGCATGGTGATTGGCATTCCCACTCTTCGAGCTCTGTGAATTGTAATACAGGCATCTCATTAAGGGAAGGGCACCAGCTTTATTTTATGGACTTTTTAACACCTATTTTAACTTTCTGTTTTTTTTTTATTTTTTTATTTTTTTAAATTGGCTATATTCTATTTATCACAACATACCCTCAGCAAATATTTATGGAATAAATGCCTTTTGAAATAAATAAGAACTGCCTCTTTATGCATTTTTGGTTCAAAAACAAAATGGCTAAACTCCAGAAAGATCTGTATAAAAAAGAAAAATCACACTTTGGCCAAATGCTGCCAGGCAGATTAGACAGTAGCTTCATTTACCTGCCCCAATGAACGAAAAGGGTAAATTCTGAGTTCTGCTACTGGGATCTAAAGTTATTTTAGAATTGTAAAACTTTTTATTTATTATGACTACATTGAGAATATTTATATCTTTCAGAATATTATTGTTCCCTGAAGCCCAAGTGCACAATTGCTACAAATTTAATAAATATTTTGAGATTGGCAAAATGTTTCCTTAATGCCTCCATGTCCTTTAATGTATTTGGACCCAGATGTCTTGGCCTCATTTGCTGGAGTGGATGCCGCATTGCCTGTCAGGTCCCTGCTGTTCGCCACTGTTTAGTACTATCAGGGGCTGTAAGCAGGCGAACTCGCTGGGAAAGTTGAGGAAAGGCTTTCAATTGAGAAAGGTACCAAGCTCTGGTTCCTGTCCAGAAATTCTGAGGTTAAAAGCAACAAAACAAAGTGACTATAAATGAAGCATCAGAATATGAACATTGAAAAGCAGCTGCAGCCAGGCTGCTTGGCTCGGTGGGTTGAGCGTCCTCCCGTGGAGTAAGAGGTGCAGGCTCCATGCCGCAGGGGACATGCAGGAGGCAGCCGATTGATGTAACTTTCTCATATTGATGTTTCTAACTCTCTCTCCCTTCCTCTCTAAAAAAACAAAAAACAAGTCAATAAAAACATTTTTTTAAAAAGCAGCTGCAGTAGCTCAGAGCAGTCCTGCTTTTACATGTCTTATATTAGCGATCAATTGAGGTCCTCAAGCACATAACCAAATCTTCATTAAAAGCCGTTCTCTCCTTTCATGGAAACATCTTACAAAACATGTATTCCACAACTGGGTAAGCAAATTCTTCAGCAGTAACAGAGAACAAAAATTGTATTTCCTAAGGTAATAGGAACCACACTATTGTGCTTATAAATCCTTGCGTAGCTCTGTTAACCTTGGAACCATAGATTTGCTCTCTGGATTATTCCGCTAAAGTCGATTTCTACTTTAACAGTAATCGCAGGATATAGTTCTTACCTTGTTTCTTAAGAAATGGTAGCACTGCTTGGAATTTCCTTTACACTGATAAATGTATTTCACTGTGCTTGTAATAGGAGTATAACAGATTTGCTTCTTGTCTAATTATGGTGGTAAACCATAGAATTCAGCCATTCCAGTTCTCAGGGAAGTGACGTTCTCCATAATTTAACACTTATTAGTTTTCCATATATGAATGTGTTTACTGATGCCCCTCGGGGCCAGAGCCTTGCCCAGTAATTAGATCCACATTCAATCTGTGTTTTCCTAGTTTTAAAAATACAGGGATTGAAGGGCGGCCAGTACTTCGTTTAGGATTTTTGTCTAGGTTTATAAATAAAATGGGCCTACTGTTTTCTTATATTATTGATCTTAGAATTAAGAAAAGCATCATGAAATTATTTGAATATCTTTTTTTTATATATTTTCTTTTTTTATCCTCACTCGAGGACATTTTTTCCATTTTTTGTTCAGAGAGAGTGGGAGGAAGAGAGAGAGAGAGAAACATCGACGTAAAAGGGACACATCGAGTGGTTGCCACCCACACGACCCAACCAGGGCTGGGGACAAACTGCAGCTGAGGTATGTGCTCTTAGTGGGAACCAAACCTGGGTCTCTCTGGACCGCAGGCCGACTGAGCCAAACCGGCCAGGGCTCGTCTAGTATTTCAAATTTTTATTGTTACGCAAATGAGACAGTACCAATCAGTATTTGTTTTGATTTATTCACATTTACCTAGCTTTGTTCACTTATGTTTCTCAGACTTTTACATGTAGGACTGTTTTCCTCCTTTGTGAAATACTTTCCTTGGAAGTTTCTTTAGATACAGGGATTTGGTTATAATAAACTGTTTTGTTTTGCCTAAATACTTATACAACTGTAGATTTTCTGTTCCTCCAACTATGAACACAGAAGATCAGAAGCATTTAGCATCTGAATGCCACCCACTACCAGGTACCTGATGCCTTGGGCTGGAGACGCCTGCAGGTCGGCTCTGCTGTGCGCTCTCGGGTACTGTTCCTGGCAAGCGTGAGTGTCCAGTGTTTTTACAAGAATGAACTCCAGGCAGAGGTACATGCTCATCAACGACACATGACACTCTGTGCACTGCAGAGAAACCTAGAAAGTGTGGGATGTGCAGAAAGTGATTCAGACACAGCACTTAAAACCGAGGGAACTCATGCTTTAATAGACACTGAAATCACAAAGGAAGGCCAAATGCCTTAGCAATCTCAATAAAAATATGAAGTTCTTTTTACATGATAAATTTCATAATATAAAAAGTTTAATGCCATCTGGAAACGGTAATGTACAAAAACGTCCACATAGGCCAAAGATGGCTAACTCTGCATACAAGGGACGTGAGTGCCAAGTGGGGAAGGAGTCTGTGGAGAGGAGAGGTGACCACGTCTGTTCTTACATGGAACGTCTTTGAAGGATCTGGCACAAACAAGGGCCCAGTTCACAAACCACATGAACAATCATTTTAGATAAAACAACAAAATATGCGATGAAATATACAATTTTCACTTTCTGCCTACTTACTAAAAGCAAACCAGATTATTGCGTGGTAATTTTTCCAGCCTGCACTGAAACTAACAAAGGGACAGTTCTTGTGGTGGGACAGGCAGGCACCATACTGAGACTTGCTACAGTGATCACCTATGGAGAGTCACCGGGACAGACAAGGTCAGGATGGGGACAGTGGGTGCAGCACCTGGTCTCCTGCTTCGACCCAGCAAGTATCAGTGTGGACCATGATTTTTTTCAAATGGGATGGTGACAATTTTTTCTTTTTACTACATACTAATGTGGATCAAAAGGTAAGTTTTAGTAGCTAATTGTGTCTTGGTATTTTGACTTAGTTCCAATCAGCAAAGTAGTTGAGTAAGCTCACTGGTGAGAATTAAGGTAGAGTCTACTACCACCTTGCTCTGTGGTCACACTGAGGTTTCCAGGAAAGGAGATTTCATTGTTTGTGTTCAGTGTATTTGTGTCTGATGGAGGACAGTAGGGACAGGACATTCCAGTTTCCTGAGCTGAAAAAGAATTGCATCCAATGGTATCTGCATATGGAGCAGAAAAAATATTTTTGTAAATTTTACCCACATCCACTGACTCCTTCCAAAGTGGAGCAAGGAGCCAAAGACTATGGCTCATTCACTTCTGTCCATGTGGCTCAGGGTTCTCATGCATGCCAATCAATTCTGCCCACAACTCGACACTCATTTCCCCTAGAGTATAGAAGCAACGCATTATTCTAATTGTGTTTTCTGTAATCTATACCAGGAGTCAGCAAACTGTCTTAAAAGGCCAGGTGTTTAGATATTTTAGGCTTTGTGGGTCAAGAGGCAAAATCAAGACTATTATGTAGGTATATAGATAACTGTTTAAAAATGTAAAATCCATTTCTAGCTCACGGTTGTAAAAAAACAGGCCTCTGAGCAGATTTAGCCCGTGGGTTGAAGTGTGCCAACTCCTGATCTGTACAAAGAAATCTGTGAATTATACAATATCACATAATTTTTAAGTGCATACTTTCTTCAGCATAGTCTGAAAAATCCATTCTGATTATACATCCATTTCACTCATGTAGAAAACACCAAGAATGACAGTGAACATAAAGAAGCAACAACTCTACAGTGATTTTCAGTTTGGTCCTATTATTTCATCATCTTAGCTTTCCTTCATCGAAGCTTATATCTAGAACAACAAAAAAACACATACACCATTTATTTGGCTTTTCAACATGAAACCCAGAACAATGCACGTAGGACTAAAACCAGGTTAGGGTCCACGAATCCTCCCAGCTGGCTTGATAACTTGGGGCGCGGTCTAGTGGTGGAGGGCGTGCGCCAGAGGTGGGCAAATGGGGCAGCACCCTCGTCCTCACTGGCAGAGCGGACCCCAGGCCTTTCCTCCGGGGCTCCTTGGCACTTGGGAAAGAGGCTGAGATTTTTCTGAGAAGTAAACTGCCAAACTATCTACATATGGATTCAGAGATTTACTTTGAGGTGTAGTTTTCATTTGAGGACATGATTTTGTTATCTAATGCACAGTGCTATAAACTTGGTTTTCATTTGCTACACTAGTACTTTTATTACCATTTATTTATTTTCCTCCTGACATAAAGACCACCTCATAATTGCTTGCTTCTTTATAAAGTATTTCTCTTCCAGTGTTGCATCAGAGTTAGAATGGGAGGGATATCCTTATTGTTTGCTTTTGTCAACATGGCTGTTGGGTTAAATGCAAAAACCTCTGTGATATAGCAGAGAAGACTAACACAGATTGAATAATTATTATCCATTCCTCTTTTCAGAGTACACTGAGGAACAGGGCAAGTGGTCAGTGTATGTATATAAATGAGATCCTACCCAAGGTTAAAAACTCTCCCTGTGGATCTTGATGTTAGTGTCCCTCCTGCCAGGGCCCTCATGTCTACTTTCTGGGTAGCTGGTGTCCTGGGCCTAGCCCACCTTTGTGTGATATATATCCTCTGAGTGGGGATGGTAGGCTTTTCATTTTAGAATTACCTAAGAGAGGCTTCTTTAAATTCTCCGACTAAATGTAGTACTAATATGATTTTCAGCATTTCTTTACTTAGATATGTTAATGGTTTACGCCCCCCTCCCCCCTTTGACTATTCTTTTATCTCCTCCAGGCTGGCAAAACTTGCAGTGCAGTCATAGCTGTAGGAAAGCCCACCTGTTTTCTCCCTGTGACAGTGCTCTGAGGGGGGTGTTCCCTACCCAGCAGTATTTGGATGTGAACCTCAGCCAAGGCCCGACTTCTCAGGCCAGGGGCAGTACAGCCTTCTGCGGGAGGGGGCTTGTCCTTCAGGAGCGAGGGGCTCGGGTCAAAGCTCAGACGAGAGTCCCTGTAGCTCACAGACATGGGGTGCTGGGATTGTGAGAACCTGGCAACAGAGTTAGGCAGAAGTGGTTTCAGAGGCCTGGAGATAGGGAAAGAGAATACAATTAAGCAGCTAATAAAGGGAAGAGGCGCTGGAAGGCTAGATTCTGGTTAAATCTAGTTAGCCAGAGGATTTTTTTTTTTTTTTTATAAGGAAAATGATAATTTCAGTCTTTCCACCCCAAAGCCTGATAATTACTTATTGGTGACTATTCAAAATTTGACATTTTAAAAAACTTTTTGAGCTTTTAAAAATAATAGCTATAAATGCAAAGTACTATTGATAATAAAACCAAGTTGTTTATCCATGTACAAAAAAGGTCAATAATGTTTTAAAAGCACAAAGTTGCATTTTAAATCACAATTGCATAGTTCTAAAATGCCTGGATAAGAGTTATATAAATTTTTTAAGAAACTTCAAGTTTGGTTGACAGTGGCCCCAAGGACGTCTGCAGAGCTTGGCGAGGCCGAGGTCAGGAGGAAGCGCTGTTGGGTGTGAATTATTGCATTGTTACCGAGATGTTATAATATCATGAAACCAGAAATGCTACAATTTAATTTCAAATCATTGGCATTTTAAAAACCATTACAGTGATACCTCGGTTCTCGAACATAATTCGTTCCAGGAGGACGGTCGAGAACCGAATTGTTCGAGAACCGAAGCAATGAAACCCAATAGGAAAGCGTGACTCCACAAAGCGTGACTCTCTCTCTGCACTCACACTGATGACACAAGCAAGGCGCGCTGGGCCGAATGAACGCCATTCGGCTCAACTCGGCTCATCTCGGAAGTTCGAGTTCCAAATATTTGTTCGGATTCCGAGACAAAAGTCTCGAATCTCCTGGTCGAATACCGATTTGGTCGAAAACCGAGGCGTTCGAGAACCGAGGTATCACTGTATTCTGTTTTTGGCTGATACATTTTCATGTAGAATTCAAGTTAGATTCCATGTACCCCACCCCCGACCAGCACCTGGGAGCCTTGAAGAAGCTCTGTCTGTGTCTCTGTGTATAAAAGGTACTGCATATATACCTCTTAGCAAAATATGTTCCCGTTCCTCCCCCACCCCAGAACCATGGCCATTTCTAATACAAAAGTCCTGTTGAAGAATCGCATCAAAGACGAGAAGCAGAGAGTTCAAAGGTAAACATTTGGTGAAGTGTATAGAAAATTCCATGAGCCTCCTGTACCAATCCCACAGAAGTCCTGGCTTTGGGTGAATTTGTGCCCGAGTCCAGAGAAGCCACCAGCTGTGTGGTGGTGGCCGGGCGGGCGGTGCCCCTGGCCTGGAGTGCACCTTCGTGAGGGGGCTGGTGGCTTTGTGGAGTGACTGCACTCGGACAAGGGAGCAGGCCGAGCGAACGACAGACCCTCTGCAGGCTGCTGCACTGAGTCACTGGGTGTGGATGTTTTAGCATTTCGAGGAAGGAAAAAATCTTCCTGGGGACAGAAATTTGTAGCCATTTCCGGAAGGAAGTCTCACAGGGCGAGTGGGGGCTGCAGCAGGGCCGGCGGGCGGTGGCAGCGTGCTCAGTGTGGCGGTCTCACTGCGCCAGTGTCCGTTGGGAGGGGCTTTTGGGGGTGTTTCTCCATGTTGTTGCAAAGACAGCTCCTTGAGTTCAAGCTTGTCTACTCCTTCCTCCTTCTTGTTGTGCCGAGGTGACAGATTTAATAGACTGAGGACATCTCTTTTGGAAGTCATGGTGCCAGGGGTCCCCCGGAATATTTTCATGGGTCCTGTGGAATGCTGGGGTGTGCTCTGCCAGAACATCTTCAGGTTGTGCACAGCCTGCACCTTTTCATCAATGGCTGCCATTTTCAGTTTGTCTATGTCGGGAGCGTCAGCTGGACTCGAGCGAGCAGAACCAGCGGAGGAATAGGAGAGAGCTGGGGACGGTGCGCTTCCAGCAGGAGAGTGATGGCCTGAGCTTGGAGATATGTTCCTCGGGGACTTGGAAATGTGGGCGCTGTAGGGAGAGCTGGGGTACTTCAGCTTAAAGAGAGGCTGGTCAGTCAGGGAAGTCTGGGAGTCAGAGCCAGGGGACGGCCTGCCGCTGTGCTGACTGGGGCTGTCTTTAGTGGACACCTCCGAGGTGGTGGGGCTGCTATATCCTGAACTCACCTTGGGTAGGGATGAGCTTCTGGCTGGGGGCTTTGGTTTAACGGTAATCGGCGAGGGCTGACTCTTCTGATGGGAGAGGGTTGGCCTGCTGAACGCACTTGTTTCTGATGCTCTGAAGACGGCAGCATTACTGGGCATAGAAATGCCATCTTCTGGGTTGTTACTCTTGCTCGTCTGACTGCCGACCCTCTGAAGACGCTCCACTGCAATAAGATGACTTTGTGTCTCCTCCAGAATTTTCTGGGCCAACTCTTGTGGATCAAGCTTTGGATTGCTTTCTTCTTGGGATTTCACGGTGCTATCTGTTTCTGTGCTAGACTGGTCTGATTCTCCTGTATCTGAACTTGCTAGTTTTCCAACCTTTTGGAAAGGTGAGTTTGGGCTGGGAATAAGAGTCATTTTAACTGGAGAATTTGGCGTGCTAATGCTCCCCTTGGAGCTTATCGAAACTTTCACACCTCCCGCTGTCCCAGCTCGAGACTGTTTGTGATCTGGTGAGAAGCACATCTTTCTGTTTTCTTGGTAGGCTGCCAGAGGCTCAGTGCTGATGATGGAAAACCCTTCATATTCTTCTTCGTCTTTGCTCCCTGCAGGGCGGGTCTGGGGGGACAGCTGGCTCCGAGGCAGGGTGGATCGCTGTGGGTAAGCATTCTTGGACCTGTCATAGTCCTGCCTTCCTCGGGCGCCTCCGCCTTCTGACCCACCCTCAGGCTTCGAGACAAAGCTCATTGAGGAGGCAATGGAGCTCAGACTGTACACAGAGATGGCGTCCGAGGCGATGCTGTCAGCACCAGTGGGCGAGAAGGGAGGGTGCTGGTAGCCCAAGGGCAGGGCATTGGAGACAGACTGGGCTGAGGCCAGGGACTCCAGGGAAGACGAGCTGTCAAGGCTGAGGCGCTTGGGCAGCTCAGTAGAATCTAAGACAAAACATATGCACCCAGAGGGCAGTTAGAATTCTATATGGTTTTGATTTTTCTTTCAAAATCACAAGCATCTTTATATGCAGAGACACTAGTAAAGAATTATAAGTGCTATTTATATACAACTTGAATTCACCTTGTAATCCTGAAAAACACAGTCCTGTTGGGAAAAAGAAATCTTACACAGGGACAGAAACGCCCTAAGAGACCCAGCAGACAACCACCTGCTCCCTCTCTCTTGGAACCCCACGTCTGCCTCCTGCCCTGCCTGGGGCCTGTGGGCAGTCTGTGATGCCCCCGTCCGAGGACCACACCCACCCTCCCTCTAGCTCCGGCCCCATCTGCACACTCCAGCAGCTTCCTCGGGAGTCGCTCTCCACACTGGCTCTCCCACTTCGTCTGGACCAACCCCACTCAGGCTTTGTCCTCCTCGGTTCTTGTAAAGGTCACCAATGACACTCACGCTACCACGTCAGTGTTTGCTGCTCAGTTCTGCAAAGTCGATGGCACCCTGCCTTCACTGTTGGCTCTTTCCCAGGTCCCTCCTCATCTTTGTGACCTCTGAACCCCAGCGAGCTCTCAGGACAGTCCTCTTCCCCCCAGACCTGTATGCACATGATGGCTTCTCCCTGATCTGCAAACTCATATAACCAGATGCCCATGTAGGTTTCTGATGGATACTTCAAAACTGAGTATGTCCACCCTGGCCGGGTGGCTCTATTAGTTGGAGCACCATCCCGTGCACCAAAAGGTTGCAGGTTCGATCCCTGGTCAGTGCACTTACAGGAGGCAACCAATCGCTGTTTCTAAAATCAACAAAAAACATATGCCCAGGTGAGGATTCAAAACAAAACTGAGTATGTCCAAGATGATACGCCTTCCTCCTTCCACTTTCAAGGTCTCAGCAGAAGGTAGTCCCTTCTGGCGGCTGTTCCAAAAAACCAGGGTATCACCACTGATCCTCTCTCTTTGTCTGACATACATTCGTCAGCAGAGCCTGTTGGTCCTGCCCTCACACATGGCTACCATCCGGGCCAGCATTGCATCTTCACGCTGCAGCCAGCTTGGCCTCTGAGGGGCAGGCAGGTGTCCCTCCTCCCTGTTCTGTCAGCTCTGCAGCACCCTCTCACTTTCTGCTCCCTTTCACTCAGCTCCTCTAATACACGACAGGTGTTCTGACTGCACGTTCCAGGGAAGCAGAGAGTTTGTTCATTGCTCTTGAACAGTCCCTAACACACACACACACAAGTGTTTCTTTCCCTTCCCAAACTGTTGCGAGATGTGTGGGTGTCTGCCCCAGGCCGCTGGTGGAGCTCTTACCGAAAAGGGCAAGCAGGGACTGGAGTGCAAAGTGCATGGTTCTTCGACTGGCTTGTTTCCCGGTTTTCAGGATTACCTCCTCCTGGCCAACTTCACAGAGATCAAAACCTAGAGGAACAAAGAGTATTAACACCTGTTTCCTTAGGGAAGATCCACGTCCTGACAAGGATGAGAGCTGTAGGACTCCTCATCCCGTGTCACGGAAACGCAGCAAGTGCCCTCCTGGGGCTCCCCTGTGCCCCTCCCTTTCCCGAGCACTGGCTGCTCTCCTGTCTGACCTGCCTCCTCGACTGAGGGTCAGAACTAGTGAGGCCCGTTCACACTCTCCGCGCTTTCACAGAACAGTCCGCTTCAAGCGGTCTATCCAGGACAAACACTGGTCCCTCTCTTGGGCACTGGGTCCAATATTTAAAGCTGGTACATAGGAAGGTGGACGCCTCTCCAGGCAAGGACAGTGTCTTCAAACTGTGGTCAGTGTCTACCACCAAGGGCTTTGGCATGAGCTCTCTGCGAGGATGGAGAATCTGCTATCTTGGCTGAACTGCCCTGCAGGGACTCCACTCTGCCAAAGCCCAGGAGGGGCTGCTCCCCAAGTCTAAGGGTTCTACTGAGATTTGGAGCAGGCACAACATAGACTGTGAGCCTCCTGAGCAAGAGGCTGGCTAACGAGCTGTTGCTACAGCACTCAGACTTATTAAGAGACATTGCAGTATATCTCCCCAGGAAGGACTGAGGGGGAGAAGCCAAACATGCTGTGGCCAAGCGCTGTGTCCACAGAAAGGCACTGTCAAGCAAGTATTTAGGGCCTGAAGAGCCTTTGAGGCTGAGAATCCTCACTCAGTCTCTCTAACAGACCACTGAGCTCTGCTTGAAGCTGCTCAAGGCCCAGGCGCAGGCACCTGCGGTACCAGGCCCTTTCTCTCTGCCCACAGCGTCCCAGTGACAGGGTCTGTGAGGTATGATGCTGCCACATCAGCACGCTGTGTTCACGACGGACGATGTTTGCTAAAGGAGAAATCTGTCTGTGTCTATATTTTGTTCTTACACAAGGATTTTGATATTGGTGTGACATCATCTTTCCTTTGGGAATTAGGTTTATTCAAGGAGCCACTCAGCATTCTGGTCGCTATGGAACATTTTCCTCTCTGAATCATAAATAGTCCCTGAAAGCAACAGAAAGGTCTCAGAGAACTCAACATTTAAAAACAAATGAATATAAATGTAATATTTTAGTTAGAAACCTCTACTTTTACCAAATTATTGGAATTGGTTGCTTCAAGAGAACCGAGTCCTCAAAACAACTGGAGCCCTGCGGTGGGTTGTAATGGCATGTGCTTAATATTGAAGGCTGGAAAGGGGGCGTTTCTTGGAGCCCTCGGGGTGAGGGAGCCTCTTCTCTAGATGCCTGGCCTGCAGAACTCCTCGCCTCCCCTCTTCCCCAACCTCAGTCCAGAGGATTAGAAAAGTAGAGGAATATCAACGAAAATCACCCACAGCCCCAGCACCAGCGAGCCAGTGACACACCTGGCTGAGGGCACTGGAACAGCCAGTTCACAGGTGGGGAGGGCTGGCTGTCATGCCCACGCCCACACCCACGGGAGGCTGAGGTCCTAGTCGCCCGTGTCACTGCCCCAGACTAGCTACACCTGCCAGCAGTGAAGAGAGATCTGTCCTGGGCACGTACCTGGCTTTTCTCACTCTCGTTCCATGTGCTCCTGACTACATTTATTTAGACATAAATTTTTTATGTTCACACCAAGAATACTACTTGAAGTCCACAGGAAAACAAATAGTACAAATCATAAAGGACATCAAAATATCTATTCACAGAAAGGTGGCAAAAATTTGTTTTCACCTTCAAAAACAAATGGAGCCAGCCCTAACTGAGGTGGGCTGGGGAAAGTCATCTACAAAATGGGTTAGAAAAGATGGCCCAGTACTGAATATCTGGGTCTCACAAGCAAAAGAAAAATTGTTTTTTAAGGATTAGCTGCCCTGCCTTGTCTGGTCACTGTAACAGTGAATTCAGGCTGTGTCATCCTCCAAAGACTCCCCATTCTCTTAGGTTAAAAACCAGGGGCCTTCCCATGTCCCCTCGGCCTGCCAGCTCTAATCCCTGTGCGCCCCAAGGCCAATCACTAGGACCCTGATGCTTTCTTCCGTCATGGTGTGCCTCCCTTAGCTTAGGCAGGCCTGTCTTCCTGTCTTCCCCACTAGAATGAAAACACTAAGAGGGCAGGGCCTTCTGTCCTTTGCTCACTTCTATATCCCCAGCACCTGGAACACTGCCTGGCACATAACAGGTGTTTGAAAAATGCTATGGTGTGAATGGCTGCCAAGCAAGTCACACAGGCACTTAAGTGGAGCAGGAGGAGGGTGGTCTCAGCCGAGCTACAGTCTGAAAAGGAATAGTGAGCATCCTGGATTGAACAAGTATCCTGTCAGTGCAGTACTAGGTCTCCACAGTCAAATCCAAGGTGGTTGCAATAGTATTTTCTTTCTGCCAGTTTCCAGTAGACAGTGACAGAAAACATTAAAACCATTGTTTTATTACTACATTGTTTAACTTTTAACCACAGCCTGACTCCCAACAATATTGAATCTAACAGATTCATATTAAAATGATGACTACAGCCCTGGCCAGTTTGGCTCAGCGGTTAGAGCGTCGGCCTGCGGTCCGGAGAGACCCGGGTTCGGTTCCCGCTAAGGGCACGTACTTCGGTTGCAGTTTGTCCCTGGCCCTGGTTGGTCGTGCGGGTGGCAGCCACTCGATGTGTCCCTTCACGTCGATGTTTCTCTCTCTCTCTCTCTTCCTCTCTCTCCCTCCCACTTTATCTGTACAAAGAAATGGAAAAATATCCTCGGGTGAGGATAAAAAAAATAAATAAAAAAAATAAAATAAAATAAAAAAATAAAACGATGACTACAGCCCAGCTGGTGTGGCTCAGTGGTTGAACATGAACCCGTGCACCAAGAGGTCGCCAGTTCGATTCCCGGTCAGGGCACATGCCCGGGTTGCGGGCTCACTCCCCAGTGAGGGCCACGCAGGAGGCAGCTGATTGATGTTTCTCTCTCTCTCTCCCTCTCCCTTCCTCTCTCTTTAAAAAAAAATCAATGAAACGTATTTAAGAAAATAAAATGATGACTACAAATGAGAGACATGAAATCACAGAGAAACGGGACAAAGCTGGGGGGCCGTTTGGGAATTGCACTAAATCACTGGAACCTCTGAGGGAACTAGTTTTCAGTAATAAAATATCTAAGAAGATTGAAAACTCCTAAGAGTGTACCAACTTTACCCAACAGAAATTAGGAGAAAAATAGATTGAAAAAAAAAAAAAAAAGGAGCTGAAGAAACCAATTACGTCTGTCCTACCTAGAGCCGCCAGGAATTCGTGACATCCCGGGAGCCGCCATAGCTGGACGCTGATGGAGACTTGGATGGGAGCCGATGCAAAATCCTGCTCCTTCTCACAGGCCTGCAGCTGGACCAGCACCTGGTGGAGCTGAGTACGGGGGACACATGAGCTCTTGCTCCTTCCCGAGTCTCTTTCCCCTCTGGCCTGCCTCGGATTGATCTCTAAGTTATTCTCGTGTCACCTGCCACTGTCATCACTAACACCTTCCATGTGTGTAGCATCTGAAATTCTCTTTACAGTGCCTTCATGCCAACTGTCCTCTCTGTGGGAAGCTCAGGGGCGGTGGGGTGTTAAAGGTTGTGGGCAGGGCCATAGTCAGGGCTTCTGCTTCCAGCCTCCGTCTTCCCTTGAGCACACGTGCTGCGTGGCCACTGAGTACAAGAGCGGGTCTTGGGGTCTAGACGAGGGGTGGGGTATAGGCCTGGTCATCTCCCTCTCTTCTTGTTTATTTAATTAAAATCGTCCTTATGATCCTGAGGTGAGTAGTGAAGAGGAATCCAAGGTTAGGGCCTCAGCACTCAAGCCGCAGAACCCGCAGAAGTGCCTGTGGGGTTTCACATTTCCTGACTCTGAACACTACTCGGGGTCTCATGTGGGCTCACACAATGTCCACTCAAAGCTGCTTCTGCCCCTGATGTTCTGATGGAGCTGAAAGGTCAAATCAAGAACAAAGAGGGTGGAACAGGAAAGGGGAGCCAGAGCAGAGGAGGGGATGGACCGCCTGAGCCAGTGGCACTGGTCACCCCAGCCCGAGCTCGTGCTGGCATGTGCATGCGACTCTGAGAGATGGCATAGCACGTGTGCACCGAGCTCAGAGCATCTCAAGGGGACCTCGGGGGTGGGTGGGTTGAGGGGCTCACCTGACAACAGTTGCTACTTAAAGTAGTACTCACCATTCCAACCATATTTTTAACAGCCTTCGGCCAGCAGATTATAAGAAAAAGAAAGAAAAAAAGAGAGAGAAAGAAGACAGTTTAGACTCAAGCACAGGTTGTTATGCAACACGAGCTGATCACTGCTTTAGGAAGCGCCACACCAGGCCCGCGGCTCTGACCGGGAGGGGAGAGGAGCGAGAGTCAGCAGGGACACACAGGAAAATGAACAGCCACACCCAGGCCAGAAGCACTCGGGGTCAAGGGGCTCAGCCAGGTCCTGCCCTTCCTTGCCAGGAGAGGAGCAGGCCAGACTCAAGTGGGGAAGGGGCATAGCGGGTATGAACAGGCCACTCTGATCCAAAGCCCATAGTTCCACAGTGACTCAGGAAATGTCCACCATCCACCAGCCACAATGGGAAGCCCAGGACACTTCCTTGGGGCCAGGCAGGAGGCCATCAGGTGGAAAGTCCCTGTGCTGCCACCAAAAACAAGAAATTAAGTAGCTGATTTTTTGGACTCTCAGTCTTGCCCTGCAAGTGTAGTTCTCACTTTTTCTTTTTGTAGATTCCAGGCTTCTAGCTTCTAGCCCACCTGGGTTTGTTTTAATATGCAACATCCCAGAAGTGTCATCCTGATTCTCTTCAAAAGCAGATGTAACACACTTATTACAAAATGTGTAGGAACTTAACGAAGGAGCCAGATCACTGAGCTATGTTCAAATCTGGGCTGGAAACAACCCCAGGTCCATGGAGGCTCCAAGCACCACTCAGATTTTCAGAGGTTAATCCTAGATGGAGGAGCTTGATTTCCACGTAGAAATATTCTGTTTAAAATGGTATCTGCTGATAAATATATAATACTGTGTATTATTTTTTCAAATTATTACACTCAGGATTACCAAACTGCTCTGTGTCCTTCAGGGGTTGCTACACCCTCCAGAAGCCCTCACACACATGGCTGTCACCCTGGGGCTTGTGCTAGATCTTCACTGGCCAGTAGGAAGGTCAGAAGCTCTGAGGCCAAGTTGGGAAGGGTCTACATGGTGCTGAGAGTTAGAAACCTCCAGATACCTGAATTAGATATACATTTTTAAAAACCTGCTAAGTAGTATCTTGAAATAGAGCTGTTTGGGGTCACTGCTCTGCCTTAGTGGCAATTTTGTTTCAAGTGGAGTTCATATGTTGATCTGAGAATAGCGCTGGAGCACCAGGCTGGCCCCACGCCTGCTGCCGTAGGGGAGGTAGCTGTCTAACACTTATCAGTCAGCAGGAAACTGGTGGCTGGGATGACAAGGTGCAGGAGGCCACTGAATGGAGAGTTCAGGAAATGCCCTGAGATGACAGGTGACAGCAGCCCCCGTAAGCGTCCCCTGAAGGCCCTAAATCTCTTGGGACTCAGCATCCCTCTATGTCTAGCAGGTGCTGGGGAGGGCTGTTCTCTTACTCCCAGCTTTTTGACTGTTTCTTCTAATCACAAAGGCTGAAAAAAAGCAATGAAACTGCATTACTTGCAGGTTCCTATTTAAGGCAAATCACTCGCTTTCCAGCTTGGCACAGCCCTCAAGCCTGGACTCGGCCGTCCTGGCTTAACTCACCCGGCTGATGAGCTGCTCGCCTGTCTCCGAGGCGGTGATGAGCTTGCAGAGGGCTTGGAGGGCAGGGTTGGGAAGACCTAAACCAAGAAGAAGGGGATGGGTGTTATCCAGAGGGACCTCTGCATCCACAGTCCTGCTGCCTTTCCAGGGGAAAGAGCCCCAAATGTTCAGCACTGGTGGCCTTCCGGACAGCCAGACCTGTACGTCTGTGTCTGCCTTAGTGGAGAATGGTCTCCGAAAAAGGCACGTGGGGGCAGGTGCCAGTCCTGACCCTGCCGCAGTCCTCCAGGTGCATAGTCAGATTCCAGGGGCCCGTCTCAGCCGCGTGCGAAGCATCGCCCTCTAAGTGACACACAAAGGGCAGCCCTGGGCTTCTGTAGCCTGCTTCACCCTAGGGAGGCGGCACAGCTCTCAGATCCAAAGCTGCTGATTAGCAGCTGCTTTTTGCTCAACATTACCTCATGTCACCTAGGAAGAGGCCGAGCCAGGGCAGCACCCTGCTGGGCAAAGAACGCCTTGCCATTACAGAGAGAAAGATCAAGTCAAGAGCACTGGTTCCTCCCAGACAGAAGTCTGGGCCTCTGCCATTTCTCAGGACACTCTCCTTCCCAGCTACGAGATTCAGCATCCCTGTGAGCGCAGGGGCCACAGCCACCACCCTCTTCCCACGCAGTCAGCCAGTCCCTCCAGCCCTCCTGAGGCTCACCCAGCAGGGACTGGATGGTGCTGCTGCACTGCTGGAGCCGGTCGCCTGGGTCAGAAGTTGGGAAGAAGACAGCTGCCGGCAGGCCACTGGCTGGGGGGTCCAGCCGGAAGCCCACAGCGGTGAGGAGGGCCTGCCAGCCTGGGATGCCACCCACTTTGTTCTCCACACTCTGCTGGGACGTGTACATGGCGTTGCGCTGCCCATTCTGAATGCGCTGCAGGGACTTCTCCACCTGGAAGGGGAAAGGGGCGTGAGGCACTGCTCTGCTCAGGGGCCAGCCCTGGCTTCTCCGAGTGGTCCCATGTGTGAAGCCAGTGCAGGGCACCTGGACCTGAGGACAATGACACTGCAGCAATGGCCTGGCGTCTTGCAAGGGAGGGTGCAGAGGGAAGGGATGTTATAATCAGAGCCAGCAAGGGCTGGTGCAACTCGGAAGAATTCTGTCCCTCCCCTAACCCATCTCCTCCTGTTCCAGGCTCTCCTCCACAGACAGAAAGTGATTTGTCTGAAAGTCAATCTCAGTTTAGGGGCCTGCCCAAACCATGTAATGGCTCCCCATCACTAGGATAAACACTCAGACCTGCAAGACCCCCATTCACAGCTCCATACACCAAGCAGTGCCCGTCCTGGAGCCTTGGCTGATAATACCCTTCTTCCTTGTACCTTCACCTCATCCTTCACCCGAAGGCACTGGCCTCCGGAACCTGTACCTCCTCTTCCATGATCAAGTGGCCCTCCCCTCCCCCCTTCCAGGGCCTAACCCAGTGCCTGCGACACGTGGGCTGAATCCATGTAAAAACCACTGCTAAACTCCCTGGGAGTGCTGCACAGCACTCCCAGCAGCCTCCGGCCTTTCCCTGGCAGATTCTGGAGAACTTCAGTCCATCCTGAGATGCTGCATCCCTGGGGCACATGTCCCCCACTGGGGGGACAGAACAGTCATTACATATGTCACCTGACACTTTTCTTACAGTAAAACCCTGATGCTGCCGGCTGACATCACCGGCGGCAAGAAATGAGTGTTCCTAGGCAAGATGGACAACCAGCCAGCTGGCTGTCCACTAGGCTGGAAGGCCTTGGAGATATTGCACAGAGGGTCAAGAGGCACCCAGGGTGATTAGAAGGATGTAGGGGCTGGTGAACTTGACCCATGGACCCTGTAGTCACACTGTATGAAGCCAAGAAAGAAAACCCTTAGATGTGCCCGAGGAGCCTCAAGGCCAAATGGGGAGCAGCTGAGAGGCTGGCTCTTGCTCCACAGCTTGGCCTAGGAGAAGCAAGCCAAACAGGCAGGGCAGTTCAGTTACCAAGAAAAAGGAGAGTGACTGGGGGTGACAGGGCCCTGAGGAGGGCCCCAGTGCTGAGCAACTTAAGGGCTCCTTGCAGTTTCCAGGCATAGGTAAAAATTGATACAGTCTCCGCAAATTCTCAAAGCATGTGGGCACATCTACCCTGTAGCAGGTGGGTGAGCTACCTTAAGTCTGGCCTGAGAGCTGTCAGAGGTTTTCACATTACAAAACTTTTGTGTGTTCCCATACTGACCGCTTTCAGGCCTGAGAAAAACTAAGCCGACCCTAAGCTTAAGAAACACATGACTGATCTATCATCACCAGGAACGCAGGAAGAGCTCCCACCCCAGAACCATGGAGCAGTAAGTGTGCCCAGCCAAGGGCACATGCCCACTTAGAACCCAGTCCCCAGACTAACTCCCCACTCCAGGGCCCGCATGGAACTTCTCCCAGGTCCGCCCTCCTGAGCACGAACAGAGCCCTCATGCACACCTCTGTCCTGTGAGGTGGCCATGGGCAGCAGCTTGCACCAGGTCTGGAAAGAGCTTGGATGTGCTGGGACTGGGTTGGTCCTTCTGACACAGAACTCCAAGGAGGCTAAGAATTCTAAATTATGCCCTGGCTCAGTGGTTAGAGCGTCGGCCTGCGGTCCAGAGAGACCCGGGTTCGGTTCCCGCTAAGCGCATGTACTTCGGTTGCAGTTTGTACCCGGCCCTGGTTGGTCGTGCGGGTGGCAGCCACTCGATGTGTCCCTTTCACGTTGATGTTTCTCTCTCTCTCTCTCCCTCTCTCTCCCTCCTGCTCTGTCTGAATAAAAGAAAAAAGGAAAATGTCCTCGGGAGAGGATAAAAAGAATTCTAAATTATCTGAAACTGCCTTCCAGGTTATCAAGGTGCAAGGGTGCAAGAAGTTTTATGCCGCTATTTCTTGGCATTAGTTAAAATGTTTAAATGTGTACAAAACGTCATGGGCCCTCCATTTGTACTCTCACCTGAGTCCTGCAGAGATCAGGATTGGCCAAGGTCAAGGTCAGGTTTGGACTCTTCCAACTGAATTTAGAGGAAGCCTAATGTCACCTGACTATAAAATACCATCTCTCGGCTACTAGAACCCTGTTGTGTACCAGCTATTCATCTTTCCTCTAATCCTCATAATGACCTTGAAAAGTTCAAGTTTGGTCCCCACTTCCAGATGAGGAAATTGAGGCTCAGGGAGCCAAGTTGACTTGCCCAAAGCCACACGGCCCAGAAGTGGCTGCGGCCTGGGCTCCTGCTTCAAGTCGCTCCTCAGCTGCCCCTCCCCCCGGGTCTTGGTGAGGACTACTGCAGACACTGGGGACAGTGTCCCCTCCACCTGCTCATATGCCCTGGTGCAATGGAAATCATTCAGCCTCCCCTTCTTGTGCACTTTCAGTGGTTTCTGTTTCATGGGAGGCAGGGTGAGGGCGCCCCGGTCCCTTACCAGGTGCAGCAGCACTCGCAGGGCGTCCCGGGCACGCTCCGGGTGCTGCAGGACCTCAGTGAGGGCCTGGCCCACGAGCGAGGAGGGGCTGTTCAGCTTCACGTCACTCCCGATGAGCATGAACCCTGTGGAGAGCACAGAGGGAGCCTCAGAGCCTGTCGTCACCTCAGCTGGGCAGCCGGGAGATGCCACCCCCACCTCCTCCTAGCCCAGGCTGGTCTCTACAGCTCACCTATGCCTCAGTTACCCAGCCAGAAAGAGCGGGGCCTTCCAGGACATCTGCTGTATGGGCTGGACTGTAGGCTATCTAACTCATTGGGGAGTAGTCTGTCACCCTTTGGTCCCCTTCCCTTTACGAATCAATACTGTTCAGTTGCTCAGTAGGTGGACAGTGCTGCTTTGCAGTGAGAGTTGCTCAGGAAACTGCCTCTGCTTTCGCACTGCGCTGTGAGCAAAGGCAGGAAAAGGATGTCTTGGGCCCACCATGGCCCTTCCCTGCCTTGGCCACCATCCCAAGGAATGATCTGCATTGTTTTCCCTGAAATTCATCTGTGTCTGGTACATGCCCGGGGGCAGAGGGGCAGGTGTGCTCAGCTCCTCCTTGGGGCCACTAGATGAGAGGCACTCCTCCCGTTGGAAGAGCAAGCGAACAGCGGGGCTGGGAGGATCCCACACCCTCCTAGATCCCTTCCCTCTTCCCTCAGCACGGCTTCTGTGCGCAGGGCCTGGAGGAGTAACAGACGCAGCAGTATCCTCAAACCACCAACCCATTTTAGGACCAACCTGCCCCCAAATAATGGAGGGAAAGCGTTTTCTAAAAGAATGAATGAGCCAAGGCTGTTTTTAAGGGTAACAGGACAGCATCATTAAACATCATTTTCCACCAGAACAAAGTTGTGACTTTGAATTATCTGTCACTAAAAATAAACACAGACAAAAATAATACCATGTCCCTAAGCACTTTGCTCAGAGGGGCAGGGGACCTCTCAGGAATAAATGGCCAAGCACAGGGACAAGTTCCTGTATGTTCTATGGGATTATGCAGGGCCAACGCCCCTTCTGTTTGCTGGAGCGTATGTGAAACAGACACTGTGTGCTGAGATGTCCATGAGTGCATGGGAACCACCGGCATCACCTCTGATTTCTGCATCTGACAGTGGGAGCAACTCAGCAACGTAGCCCAGACCCTCAGTGCCTGCCTGCTTGCCCACCCGTGAGGTGAGGGCCTCTTGGACCAACCAAATGTTTCTCTTCAGCCACAAGAAGAAATAGGATCGATTCTACGTTGTTTTTTGGATACCTTTTTGAAAAATCACTACAGCTGTTGTGCTAGTGATGTAAACACACGTTTCTGTATACCATCACGGCCCATCCTGCACACACAGCTCCGCCCCCAGGGCCCCTGCAGGCTCCTCGTTTGCAGGCCGGCGGGCCTGGGAACACTAGGGCTCCACTTCAGGGCTTATCCAACTTTGGAAAATGACACCAACAATATCAGCATGTGTCAGCTGGATTGATTCTAAGAGGAATAGTAAGTTGAAGGCCATTTTGTTCCCAACTTTTAAATATATCCATGGATGGTACATTTTTTGCCATTGAAACAAAATGTAAATGTTTGAAATAGTATATTTGATGCTCCTCTGCTTCTCAAGGTTTAAGACTGCTTTATGGGTCAGTGCTGTTGTGGCACTGATGCAGCATCCTGGGAGGTACGGTGCCAGTTCTGAGACCACCACAGACCATGGTCATGAGGTGTGTCAGCAAAACCACCTCGGCTGGCTGAACGGCTGGGTGGGAGAATGGCCCCGAGTTGGATTTGGACCACGGCCTGTGGGGGGAGGGGGCACGATCTCCTGCATGGGAGGGTCCGCAGAGACCCTGGAGGATGAAAGCCATCACACGGAGCTGACAGGCAGACTCCCTCATCTCCGCTCCTGTGACCAGCTATCATAGAGAACATTCTCCCTTCATTCCCAGACCCTTTGCCCCCTGTGATAGGCCCACTCAGAGCATGTGCTGTCGGCCCTCCAGAACATGTAATGCCTCACACGTCATAAGACATTCAACCCATTCCTCAAAGATCATCTCAAACTTGAGCAGGGAGGTATCATCAACACTACCACCATCATTTGCATGTTACCACTGAGCTTCAGAGAGGGTTAGTAACCTGTCTCAGGTCACACAGCCTGGACATGGACTAGATCAAACCCAAGTCTTCTGAATATCAAATCTCAGGTCTTTCTACCACACTACTCTTTGCTACAGTCGTGGGATTTTACATGAGGGTGCCATCAAATGGGTCATCCAGTAAACACCTCGGGTGGGGTTGACAGTCACACTCTGATGGCAAACTGTTCTGCTGCTGCCTGGTCAAAAGACTATTTGAATACTACGGCAGTAAAAGGCTGACGGGGCCGTGGGCAAGTCTCGGCAAGGAGGCTCTCTCCCTGAATCTTCCCAGCTGCCTTTCCCAGGCCCCATCCTGTCCTCCTCACCCCTCCCGGGGGCTGTGAGGACCAACCTGAGGCCCCGACAGAGGTGCCAGTGGGTGGCCCTGCTCTCACCTGCCCAGTTGGAGGGGTGCGAGAAGGCCTTGCTGCTCTGTACCACCTTCATGGCCTCCCCCAGGGCTGCGCTGGCTTTCAGGCTGTTCAGCAGTGATGAGTAGAAGGTGTGGAGAAACATCTTGGAAGCAGCCACGGGCACAGGCCAGAGAGACACGAGGACACACTGTGCACCAGCAGCCAGGAAGGCCCGTGTCAGTGCGATGACCCCGTCAGCTGTGACTCTGCTGTTAGACTCCTGACAGGAGCCCAGGACCACCAGCTTTGCAGGAAGCCGCAGGTCCAGGATGTCGGCGGCCGTGAGCAGCAGCTCCTGCAGGGGCGGGCAGTCCGAAATGCTCTCCCCGTCACTGGTGTCATCTTGCACCCGCAGGGACTCAGGGATTGTGTAGGGGTGGCCGAAGGAGCTCTTGCTGCTGGCAGGGTTGCCGTCCACACTGGGTGTGAGGACCAAGGCCGACAGTTTCCAAGAGATGTGGGTGGCAAAGTGGATGCATTCAGCCTGGGTCAGGGCACTCATGACTCGCTCTTTGGTGGCCACGCTGCCCACCAGGGGCTGACAGCCCAGCAGCTCTGACACCATGTAGGCTTCCTCCTCGGCGGATGGCATCGGCCCCCACAGCCACCTGTCCATCACTGCTGACGGGAGCTTCGGGTTACCAATGACAGCTGCCATGGACGTGGGGTTGGAGTAGGTTGACGGGGTCTTCCTCAGGTGAGACTAGGGGTGAGGAAGGACAAATGCACCGTCAGACTGTCCAGCCTTCCCAGGAGCACAGGGATGGCCAGATCTCCAGTTAGGGCTGGGTCTCACTCCACCTGTTTGCCCAGTAACCTCATTCACTCTCATTTCCAACACCTTATTGAAACAGGTGCATGTCTTACTGAAAAATCACACCTGCTCTGACAAGCTTTTTTTTTTTTTTAATCTTCACCCAAGGATATTTTTCCATTTATCTTCAGCTAGAGTAGGAGGGAGGGGGAGAAAGAGAAACGTCGATGTGAAAGAGACACATCGACTGGCTGCCTCCGCACAAACCCGACCAGGGCAGGGGACAAACCTAAACCGAGGTACGTGCCCTTGACCGGAATCCAACCCGCGAGTCATTGGTCCACAGGCTGACACTCCCAACCGCTGAGTCAAACCAGCCAGGGCGACAAGCTCTTAATAATAATCAGGACTGGTTGTAAGAGGCTGCTTCCTGTTTGTCAAACCCCAGCAGGGCTGGGGAGGAGGTTTTGATGGGCCAGAGGTGAGAATGTGCTGGAGGCGAGGGTCTGTGGTGCCCACCTGCTCCATGTCTCGCCTTTACAGGCCTTCCCTGCGTGCCCCTAAATAAGGGAAAACCCACTCCTGATGAGTCAGGGTGTGGGGGTGGTTTTGTTTAAAAAACAATTCAAACTCAGGGGAGACAGGGCCAAATTAAGTCCTTTAGAGACATGGTGTTCTGAAAAAATTATAGTTCCTTCCACTTTATGTGCTGTAAAATAAAAACATCACTGAATTACAAAATCAGCATAAAGAAGTCCAACAATGTTCTGATTTCCCCTTAAGCCCTTCGGTGCTTTCTGGGAAACATCGAGTATTAAATTATTTCAAAATAACTTTTTGGTGCCTACACTTGGGGATGCCTTAAACTCTGGACAGGGAAATGCCTGTCGAGTGCCGTGAGAAGCTGGGACTATCCCATCTCCTGGGGGCACTGGACACAACCAGCTCAGCTCTCTCAGCAGACTGATCCCTGGGTGCTCCTGGCAGCAGGTATGGGGAGCCTGCCCCTGCGTGGGACAACACCTGACCAGACCAGCTCATTTGCATCTGGGATTCAGCCAACCAGGGACAGAAGAAAAACTCAGAGAAAATAACTTCTTTCCCTTTGAACTGATTTTGTCTCATGTATGATTCAGCAACAAAAATAGCCAAAACTAATATCTCCAAAACCCCGTGAAGCAGAAAATGATCAGGTTTAAACCATGTCAATGACCAAGGCCAGCAGAGGCCAGTCAAGGTAGGTCCCTTGAGGGCCGCTTGCACCCTGGCCCTGGGGTCTGGGTTCTTAGACCTGCTGACACCTTCTCCCCCACAGGAGGCCCGTCTGGCCAAGCCCCCTGGGGGCCTGACGGGGCTCCGAGAGCGCCTGGCAGCACGAGGGCATTTTCAAGTGTGAAGCTGGAGCAGGTCATGTCCTGGTGGTAAAGACAGTCCTGTAGCTGTGATGGGTGGGGAGCATCAGGGCTGCGACGGGCCAGAAGGAAGCACGGTTCCGGGTCTCTGAGTAAGTTTGGAAAAGGGGAAAAGAATTCAGGGTTGGCTCAAAAGGCCCTCTCATCAGGTGGGCAGGGCCAAGGCGAGACCTGCCTGCAACTCTGTGGTTGGCCCACCGTCACCCTCCTGATTTTCACAGATGTTTCCTCCCATACTGACTTTTTTGCTGAATGAGACTCAAGTCCCTTCCTAGTGCCTGAAAGCTGCCTCATTTGTTTTCGGTTCTGTTTGCCTGTGGGGCTCTTGCACCTGACACTGGTCTTACTCGTCTGCCATCGCTGCCTGTGGTCGCACCGGCAGCTTGAAGGTGGGATCAGCGTGGCGCTGGCTGTGCCTCAGCCCCTCACTGGGGTCCTGCGTGACGGGGGGAAACAGCATCCTCGGGTTCTTGGCCTGGCCTCAAGCCTGCTTGGTGCCTCTGGGTAGTTCACAACCCTGATGTCACAGCAAAGAAATTTAAAGAGAAATGACCCTGAAATAGCCAAGAACTGTCAGGGGTCAGGAGGGCTGTGCCCCTACCTTCGGACAGATCTAAAGTCATCCTACCCAGCTGTAAACTATACAATTAGCAGTTTGAAGAGATCAAAACCTACCATTTTGGAGCCCAGTCTGGCCAAAGACCATGCCTTGTGGACCCAGAGTGTGGCCCCCCAGGCCTGCCAGGAGCCTTACCTTGGCCTGCGGGCCGAGCACGCGGATGGAAGGGACAGCGATGAGGGCGAAGCGCTCATACAGGTACTCGTTGGAGGAGCTTCCTTTCAGGAGGGCAAAAGGGATGAGGTAGAGCTCCCCCTCCAGAACCAGGACCAGCTGCCGGTGCCGGCCCACGGGACCACTGGAGTGCATCAGGCCCTGCAGAACAAGCACAGAAATATGCCCAAATAACCAGGCACATCTGAAGGTCCCCGCAGTCGCGTGGGTGTTGGGTTGTCTGAAGGTCCTTGTGGTCATGTGGGTGATGGGTTGGGCTCTACTCAGAGGAGAATCACCAAGTGGGGACTTCTGCTGGCCTCACAGGCCCCGAGGAGGAGGTTAGAGGACTCATCAAGTCCACAGGAGAAGGTGGGACCAGTCTCCAGTCATGAAGGGGATATCTCACGAAACAGGACCAGCCCCAGCAGATGCAGATACTTCTACAGGAGTCAGGTAATTCACGCCAAGGGCAGTTATCCCAGAAAGAGCTCTGTGAGTGACGGCGTACCGCAAAGGACCAGGGCAGGGGACGCTATACTGACACAGGGACCCTAAGAGCAGTGTCGGAATGACTCCTCTCAAAACAGGCAATGAGAACGCAACTGGAGTGGGACATATCAACCATTTCAGTGGATAAGAGGCTAGAAAGTCACAGTGCGAAGAGACAGTGGGAACTAGGATGACATCCCCTGGAGGAGAGGGTTCTGGATGCTGGGAGCTTTTGTGACCTCTGGGCCTCTGGAGGGGAGAGGGAGAAAGAGGAGAGGAGAGGAGAGGATGGCCCCCTGGCTTGGCGCTCTGCAGTGCTGTCCCCATTCACTCCCCCAGGGCTGTCAGGGGGATGTGATCCCCATCACCCCTGAAGACCTGTCTCAAGGATCCGAGGTGAGGGGGCGGTGCCTGAAGACCCACAGCAGACAAACAGACACCCCCTTGTTCCCTTTTCTACAGATGCATTTCTTTCCAAAAGAACTGCTGACGGAGACCAGTGCCACGTCAATCTTGATGAAATAAGAAAGAACAACTGGGAACACTGGCCTGGATGGGCTGAGTGTGAATGAAGAGATGAAGCAAAGGCTGCTGACTGTGCTCAGGGGGATGCCTCCTAGAGCACACCCTGGGGTGCAAACACCACACCTGGGGTGTCAGCCAGCCCTGAGACTCTGGGTCCCTGGCTCTGCAGGAGTCACAGCCAGGCTCCCCTCCCCTTCACCCATCTGCCAGCCGAGGGGAGCACCCACGAGGCACGACGATGCTCTGGAGCACATCCGGCAAACGCGCACGCCTCATCTGCCTGGCGTGCTGCTGAGGGCACTCGGCTGAGGGCGGAGACGGCACTCAGCTAACCCAAAGTGACATGCCTGGCAGGACATTCGGTCTGTACAAACCTCCTGTGGCTTTTTTCCTTTTTTTAAATTCTAGATACAACTAAAGAAATCAGAAATAATTATTAGGCCAATTTGCTTGTTGCTTGCTTTAAGAGCTATTTTCCAAGAAGGAAGGAAGACGTGGGGTGTGTCACAGTGCCCCCAGTGCTGTCCATGCTGAGTTTCTGGGTTGGTACAGGGGCTGGGTAGGGCTGGGTACCCACATCCCTGCTTCACACCATCTGTCAGCTCCCAGGCCCCGTGTCCCCACCATGGGCCACACTGAGCCCCCTGCCTGGCCTAGCAGGTGGAGGTGGCTCTGGGTGGCCGCTGTGGAGGGCAGTGCCACACACTGCTGCAGTGTGCCTAGTGGACCTGGGAGCTGAACTGGAGCAGCTAGGTTGGCGATGTCCTGACCTCAGTGGTGGGTCAGCAACTGCGAAAGTGAAAACTGCTTGCTGCTTAGTGAGAGCCCTACTGTGGGCAACGTGGGGACTCAGGCCACCGGCCATATGCAACACCAGACCCATCCTCAGCTGACTGGAGTTGCCAGGGGTTACTGGACAAGAAGCCAGCCCCACCCCTGCAGGTCCTCCCTGGACTCCTTCACCAGGGCTCAAACCCCAGTAAGTTTCTGCCAGGTGTCATCCCACAGGCCACTGACTTCACTAGGACAAGTTCCCAGTCGTGACAGCATCTACACGTGTGAATCGAGGGCGAGTCAAGGGATGCTGGGTAAGGTAGGAGGCATCACATTGAGCCTGTTAATTCAGACACAGAGACACACACCGAGAAGGGGACAAGGAGACTGCCAGGACCTGGTGAACTGAGCTAATGGAGAGGATGGAAAGGTCCCTGAAATTCTAACCTGGGCGACTGGGACACTTTTCTCCGAACTGCGTATCCCAATTCGTAGGTGTGATCCCCAGGGCACAGTGCCTCATTGCTGCTACTGAGCTGGCACGAGCCTAGAGCCCTGAGCAAGGGCCCTGAGTGGGACCCCTGTCTGGGCAGCGAGGCAGGAGGCAGGTGACAGCACACTGGCCTGTGGGCACACGGGTTGCACAGCAGTGACAGCTCCAGTTAAAAGGCAGCAGGAAAACTGACTGAATGTGTTGGAAGGATGTCCTGGCAACCGTCTCTGAAGCTGCCTCCAGGATATACGAGCATTGTCCTTGTACAGAAAGATTAGCTATGATCCAATGTGAACTTGAACAAAGAAAATAAAGTGATGCCTCTATCCAAATTCTTATCACCTGTTAGATGAAAAAGGAGAGACGATGCAAGGAAATGCTACTCTGTGCCTCCACGTCAGTCTAGAAAGGGCATTTGCTGGTTTCCTAAGTCCTGGGTTTGAAAGATAAAAGGGTGCAGCATCAGCCCAGCACCTGAAACTTCCAACCAATTCCAGCAAAGATACAGACTTTCTGACCTCTAAAGTTTCTACAAATGGTTCTTTTGAAGTAGAACAAGATAAGGAGGCCAGGTGTCCTACAATCTTCTGTTCCCCAGGGAGTGTCCCTTCATCACCAAGGAGCTGGGCCCTGCCTATCACAGCGTGGGCCCAGGCGAGCGAGGTGGGGGTGGGGAGGGCAGGGAAGGCACTAGGGCCCAGCCGGCAGGGGCAGCAATGAGCACACGGTTTTGGCTAAGGCATGGTCTTTGCAGAGCGAGAGCGCTGTTCCTTTACATGGGGCAGGTGGTGGGCACCCGGAGGTGGCTCTAGGTGGCTGTTATTGGTTGCACCAGGACAGCTTCTGGTGTCCTGTCAACACCTGCTCTGCGTTACACTGGCTTCCTGCAGCCAATTTCCTGTCAGGTGAGCAGGTGCTGAGCTTTCTTAATGAAGGGCCTGAGGGGCTGAGGCAAAGGGGCTCTCCTGCTAGTGGCCTAGGTTGATGGGGCGTGTGTGAGGACATCCAGGGGAGCCCAGAACGTGGTCCTTCTTGACCTTGCAGTCTTCATGTGGCAATAACCTTCCCACAGCTCTGTCTGCGAAGAAACCAGGGCCTGTCCACAGGTGCTTGGACTCCCACTGCATACCCTAGCCCATTGCCTGCTCTCCTGCCTGCACTCCAGGGCGGCCCACTGCTTGCCTAGCAACTCCAGACTGGCTTAGGCCTGGTCAACACCTCCACCATCCGGTGGGCTGAACCATGAACCACGCCTTCTCCAGTATTTTGTCCTTTATTGGGTATGCTCCCTTAGCCAGAGAGAACCACATAATTTTTAACATCTTATAGTTACTGTTTACTACAGGGATAAGTCTTTATATTAAATTTCCTCTGGTTAACCTACTGTGTGGTTTCTGTCTCCTGACTGGACCCAGGCTGTCTGTCTCGCTGGGCTTGGGGGGATGGAAAGCCTTGTCCAGTGACCAGAAGGGAAAGGCATAGTCTAGGAGAGGCCTGTGCCATGGGACCGGGTCAGTCTGCTGTGTCGGTAGCTCTTGGTGACCTGGAACTGCTAGGTCATGGGGCATGTGGTGAGGGTTGGGGATTGTGTGGTGGTTTTGAGCACTTCGACAAGACACCCAACTCCCTGAGCCCAAGTCTCCAAACCCCCAAGACACTCGTCTCCATGACCTCACAGGTCTGTGGGACAGAGTCAGCTGCGGCAGGGTGTGGGGCACGGTGCCTGGCTCCCAGGGGGCACTCGGTACATACTGGTCAAATGTGAATTCACAAATGTCTTCAGCTGTTTAAAAATTAAGTTGAACACAGGTGCTATTATTTATACTATTCTCTCCTCTGGGCCTCAATCGTTTTCCCAAATACCTCTTTCTCTCTCTCTGGTGTTTATAAACAATCATTGGCTAAAACATGTAAATGGCCTCTCTGGATCATCCAGCTCTAAATTTTAACCTAGGGACCGAGAGGCCAATGTCACCACCGTCCTTCTCATCTTTATCACTACTATCATCATCCAAAGCTATTCCTGAGCGTCCACAATACCTGACGCATGTGAAATCTGCTACCAAGCAGTTGCCCTGAGTCTGCAGTTCCCCAGACAGACCTCACGTGTTCCACATGTTCACGTGGGTGGTGAGTTCTGATTCGATGACCATTTCGGTCAGTGGGGATCTCCTATATGTACTCATGGTGACTAGGAGCCTGGACTGTTTAGAAAGCACTGGCATCAAATGTGACGCCGCGTGTATCCTGATTTCTGGCTTAAGAACTACGTGCCCCATGCACATCTCCAGGGTTCATGCAGCCATCAGCATGACACCACACATCGTGCCCACTGCTCAGACCAAATGGCTTGACCCACAGACCCTGGGGACACTGTCCCCTCCACCTGCTCACATGCTCTGTGCTACGGAAACTCTTTAGCTTCCCCTTCCCACAGGAGGCCTCTCAGAGTGTCACAGCATCACAGGCCAGAAAAGTGAACATCCCTGACCATCGTCGGGGAGGGAAAGAAAACTCCTGGGCCTGTGAGCTTTTGGGAAGATTAGATTTGGGATGAACTGGGGGAAATCTGAATACCCCAGAACCATGTGCATGCCTGAGGATTTTTTCCTGACTCATATTTTTGATTGAGTGAATTGATCAAACAGAAACTTTTAAGGTAGAGAAAACTTTTCTGTGATGTTTCAGAAGAATCTCGGTGTCATGGATGGATGGATACAGTTTCAGCAAATATCACATACAGTAGTCCCACATTGTCCATGTGGGGTACAGTCCAAGAACCCCAAAGGATGCCTGAAACCATGTATGTACTGAACCCTATATATTCTATGTTTTTCCTATACATATACATGCCTATGATAAAGTCTAATTTATAAAT